ATCCAACAGAGGTTGAAAAAAGGGCCCTTCGGGATGGCGTTTTCAGTCATTCCAGCACACACATACATTGATAAAAGATTGTCATCGTGACGTTGTGTAAAGAACCAGTCCAGAATTACGTATTTTACGCCGTTTTAACAATGTAAACATTCATTTTGATCTTGATTATTACAAATATAACAAGTGTGTTTTCTGATGAAAGGAGAACGGAGTGTCCTACATTTTTTTCAAATCCTTTCACAATACCCGGCCTTTTTTATTATTTATTTTTAAATTTAAGGTAGAACTAACTTCTAGATCATTTGCGACCACTATTGCTTGTAACGGTATGGTAACTGTGAGTATGACACGGTATGAAAGAACAAACATAATACAACCATGCACGAGGGGGGACTCGAACCCCCGATCCTTCGGTCCGAGATCGTTACGGCACTACTGCCTTAGAGATCTCGGCCCCCGGATTGGCACCCGGCCTTTGATGTAATGCACAGTTTGAATTTACGGGAGTTCTTTTCATTTTTAAAACAATTATTTACAAAATTCGGAAGGTTTTCACAGTTTTATATTACATAATTGTAAGTAAAAGTAAACTTCAGTTCATTTATGTTATTCATCTTCACAAGCAATAGAGGTTTCAGAAGTATTCATCTTTGATCACTTGAATTAATTTGTTTTTCTATTTAGGTTGTAAAAACATATAAGAGATTAATGCGCAACTAGTCCCCAAAAATACAATCCCAAGAGATAAACAAGAGTTCCCGCCTTTTAAAAGTGTTTTAAAGAATAATAGAAAAGTAAATGTTCGCAAGGATTCTTTAAAATTACAATTGTATAATTTCACACTTTGCAATTGTTCAGGTATATTTGTATACGTTGAACTGTTAATACCTCAACCCATTTCATCACATTTTCATAATGAATTAACCGCGATTCAAGATTTTTCAAATTCCTTGCCATTACAAAAGGTTGTCAAAACCGTATTGTTTCTGCTAACTTGTTTCAGAGTATTCACCCAAATAACAATAAGATGTACTTACTTTTACGTCCCTGTTAGGTATCATTTCCATGACGTCAGACCTAAAATGTCAATCCAGAGAAGCACAGTTTTGTCTTGAAGACGTTTAAAAGAGTAACTCATCGCCGTCACAGCACTCCCTACTAGCGCACTTTCAATCACAACCTGGAACGGGTGACGCGAGCTCAAAGGGTGGCGAGGCACTAAAATTACTGCTCGCGCTCCGCTCAAGGAGAAAGTGAAGCGACGCTTTCCGGAAGACTCGAGGTCTGGGTTGAGGACAACCGTTGCACATCGCGCTCGCAACCAACAGCAATGACATCACACCACGAGCGACTCTGGCGCCTAAACTTTACAAGGAGAGGCATGAAAGAATAGTAATTAAGAAAACGAGTAGATAAAGAGGGGTATAATTGCACGAGTGGTATGTTCGAGAAAACGAACGACCATAGGAGCAAGATTTCTTATTTACCACGAGTGCAATTATACTCTTTATCAACATGTTACGTTCAATATATTTTTCGTTTTCATTTAAGAATAATTTAAATTTTGAGGAAATCAAGCGAGGCTGCGATTGTATTTTGTGCACTACTTCCGATTAATGTCCAATCTTATAGATTTTTACAACCTAAATAGAATAGCAAATTAATTCAATTGATCAAAGATGTAAACTTCTGAAACCCGTATTACTTGGGAATATGAATAACATAAACGAACTGAATCTTACTTTTCCATAAATTATGTAATATTAAACTTAACTAGTACCGTGAAAACATTCCGAAGTTTGTAAATATTTGTTTTTAAAATGAAAAGAACTTCCCTAAGTTCGAACTATGCATTACATCAAAAAGGCCGGGTGTCGTGCGAGGATTTGACGTTGATCCATTAGTCAGCTACCTTATCGTATTCTTCACCAATGTAGTAATATTCATTTATTGTTTATATAGTTGATGTAGGTATGTAATCTGTGATGAACATTTTTGTTCATTTTTCATGGCCGACTGTAAATACCTTCACCACTTGTGTAATGGTGTCGTAATTAAACGATTTTGATTGTTTCCTGAATTCTGATTGGTAGTGGTCGAGTTTTAATTGCACAGTGGAGTTTTAATTTCACGCATACTTTTATACGCATAGAAATAAACAACAAGTTTTCGTATAATAAATGAGAATATTTAGTTAACTATACTAAAAATTGATTTAAATGCAAGTATATCTACAAAATTTTATTTTAAACTTCATTAGTTGTTTAATACAGCAACATTAACAGATTCATCTGAACACTTGAGCATCGTTTCACTTTTAGCTGTAGTGCTAAAATTGAACTTTCAGCACGCTGTGCAATGCATAGTTTGCATGCCTTGAACTAACCGACATCCCTAGTCTGTTTAAAAAAGTATCAATTCTTCAACAAGAGGCAGATTATAAAAGTCAACGTTCGGTTACGTCACATCTATTTCATCAATTCATAATAAACTCTGGGATATTATCTAGCATATTACTTGCCCAAAACATTGATAGCCTTTTACCGCATGCCTCACCAACTATGTGTCACTTACATAAATTATAAATAGTTCACGATATTCTAATACAGTTTTCACCCGACATTCCGACATTTCAGAATCATGGGGCAAGTAATATGCCGTAGAAATATTGTTTGTAATATCTTAAGTTTTCAAGAAATTTCATCATCTTAAATTTTTAAATAGAACTATACGTTGTTCTTACTAGCAATGATTAGATCATAAAGAGAGGAGTACAATGTCGATTGATTTGTTAAGGGTTTGATAGTAATTTGAGTATAAAATTATAGTCTGACATGGGTTGTTAAATTAAATGGGCAATACTTCCTTTAGTTGGCCTGTTACGGAATCAGAGTGACTGTGAGGGGTGTCAGTTGAGGCAGGAGTAACTTCAAGCAAATCGAAGCCTTGGCTTGAAGGACTCATCAAAAAACATCAATAGTAAAGATCAAAATAAGAGATTCCAAAGATTCTTCAGACTTCAACTTGCCCCAAATTAAACATATAGTATATATATATATATATATATAATATATATATATATATATATATATTATATATATATATTATATATATATTATTATTGTGGTTTTGTGGTAATTTGTTTTTTTTTAACGGGGGAGGGAAAATCCGCAACCCGCAGCGTATGGGATTCATAGCTAACCCCAATGCTACCCACTAAAAACCCCTCCCTTTCCTCCTATTCCTTCCCGCGGAACCGCCGTCAGGCATTGCATCGCGAGAAGGAAGGGATGGGCTTTCGCACTTCACCGAAATATTACGGGACACTTCTTCGTAACTGCTCCTCGGAGCGGAGCGCTCTTCAGGACCTTTGCGGCATAAGGTGGCTACCGCCACTCCAATACTCTTGTATCATCAGCATCCTAGTTGCCGATGTCTCAGGGGTCACTTCCTCTTGGGGGAGTCTGTGAAGTTCTTCCCTTTCCACTGCGAAGCGTGGACAATGAAGTGTGGGTGTGGGTGTGAGAGTGTGAGTGTGTGTGTGAGATATAAGAATAAAAGATGATTAAAATTATTGAAAAATTAAAATATTACAAATGATATCTCTATGGCGTAGTCCTTACTCCATAATTCCGCATTATTGAGCGAAAACTGTATTTCGATATCGTTAACTGTTTAGGAATTATGGGGGTAGTACACGGTAAAGTAAAGGGATACCTGGTATTCTAGTGATGCAATAATCTCCACTCAGATTTCGACTCCGTCCGTTTGTCTGTCACTCCGTGTAGACCACGTATGTTCCACAAATAGATATAAATAAGATGTCATTCATCGCGTCTCGGGCTCTTGTTCAAGAATTGATCTTTTTTATAGAGACTAATAAAAGTGTTCCTTTGAAGACATGCATATTACTCGCACAACTATTTTTGAACAATGACCTTGCTTCCCACTCTCTGGCACAATAAACAGATCAAGGCAAAAGCTCGCAGCGAGTACTGATGACAACATTCCAAACACATCTTCACTGGCGCGAAATAGAAACAATTTTCTTTTGAAGACTAGAACTTCTATCGGTTATTTTCTCCAAATTCTAAAGAAATGTCCGAAGCAGGTACGGATCTATCACAGGAGATACTTCGATCTCCTGATAAAGTTAGAACGCAAATTATTGAGAACGTTACGAAGGCGTGACTGATTCTCCAGAGATAGGCATTACTTCATAAAATCTAGTAACCGATTTCATAACTAATACCCCCACTCTATCCGCATTTCTTCAATCTATCGTTCAAGAAAAGTTGCGCGAGTAATACTATGCAGTGCATAACACTAGAGCTAAAAGTGCGACGATGCTAAAGTGTGAAGATGAATCTGTGAATGCAACAATGAAAACAAAATACTGTCGTTCCGCATCAGCTACTATACATATTACATGATTTATAGACTTGAATTAAAATGAAATTAAAGTCAGTAAATCTGTCTAAAAATAGTGTCTGACACACGTAGTAAATGTGATTGTATTTCGCTCATACGATAGCACCACTCATCTATCTGCCTCGTGTCGCGACATTTGCTACTTGCAAACTAAAATGTCACAATGTAAATTTATGCCACTCGTAAAAGCGCGTTTTTGCGTTTTAGGCAATTAAATTGCTTTTCGTCACCTATGGAGGTGATCAATAGCTTATTCTATTCTTTTCGACAAAAATCGATTGGCACAGCTCCGTCTAGAATATTCTGGAAGAATTCTAGGAAAACAAGTGATTTTTTATATTTTTGAAGTGCGGAGTATGGCATGAGCTGCATGTTGTCATAGATTAGTATAAAATATGTTGTCAGGGGAGACAAACAAGTAAGAGTTGTTTGATGTAAGAAAGAAATAATGTATATTAAATATTAAAATTGTATGATTTCAGTAAATATAATAAGATGTTATAATGATAATGAAGTAGGTTTTAATTCATCGATACCAAAAAGAAGTAGCACGCAGCATCGCCAGCAAGATGAGTACAATAGGTATTTATAATATCAGATTTCAGTGCAATTACGAGTGCATTTGTGAAACACTGAATTAATATACTCTTTCCGGCATTTACTTGAAATGTTACGACTTAATTCATCCGATTGACGCAAATTAAACTAAATTTTGAAATAAATCAAAAATGTAAACTAATATTTTAATTGATACTTTTTCATTCGACTTTCTGTGCCTGAAAATGGAGAAAGCAGACAATTGTAATATGTTTAAAAATTATTTTTATTAATAACCTGCGAATCAAAAATAAAACTTTCTAATATGAAAATTCATTATCTTTGCGCGCCATCTAGAGTTCAATAGGAAATACAGTTCTTCACATTATCATTCTCCGTGTTGTCGAAGCAGAGGTGTATTCATTAACGAAAAATGCGATGAGGGATAAGAACCGAAATCTGTGGCTGATTTGACTTAGAAAATCGATTTTATTAAATTGGAGCGAATATTTTGTTAACAATTCTTATCAAAAACTTTCATTTCTCTCTAAATTCAGAATTCAACTTGTATTTGGTTTAGGATAGGGATCCCAGAATTACAAATCGTGGACAGAATACTCTTCTCCCCGTAGCTCGTCTCACACAGTTTTTAACTGTTGTTGATATAAAATAAACGGAAAAAGCTAGTACGAAATAACAGAATTCTATTAACCTAGAACATAACATACTACCAAATTTGCAATACTGTTTGGGCCAAAGATAGTTCTAAGATCTGTTGATCTTGAACGGGCGTGCCCACTGGGGCAAGGGCAAGAATGTTGCTGCTCGAACGGGGTAAATTGAATCCTCCCTTGCGCAAAAGTCTCGCATTTTCAGGCAAAATGGAATCATACACCACCACTCCGTTATCAAACATACACCCAAGCAGTTTTGACTTTATTGACCACCTATAAGACGCACACAATGTTGGTAAAACTGGCCTGGAAATTTCAATAATTGATAGTTTTTTTAATCACAGCTTTGAGATCAAAAAAATAATAAAAGAAGTTAATAAAAGCATAAACGACCATTACGACTCGTTCTTGTCGGTGTTTACAAATTTCTGAACTAGGTTTTTCGACTTTGGTGGAACATTCTACCCTTTTACAACTGACTATTACTCGTGAAATTAAAACCAATAGTGTTTAACTATACATATAAAATGTCCCAATTAGGACGGTGTATCCGATCTATTCTTATCGCTTCTCCCTACTGGCCTATCTATCCGATCTTTCTTATCGCTTCTCCCTACTGGCCAATAGTAAGCTGCGACTCATTTATTTTAGGTGGTGGTATACATGGATCGGTATGTTGACGTGCAATAAAATGCATAAACCCTACATAACCTCTTTGGTTTTAACATTTTCCAGTTATTTTCAATAATTTAGGCGTTTTCGAACTCTGTTCGAGGTAATTTAATTCATGGAGTGGTCCTATTAAATATCACTCGTGCTTAGGAAATTCGCAGATAAATCCCCTAGCGTCTCGGGACAATTTCCATAGCACTCGAATTGCCTATGTTAATGTATTTGATGGGTGAACAATGAGGACGGAAAAGTTGCAATGTGTTTCTAAACAAATTTCTTCAATTTTAGTTAAAAATTTGCCAGCGCGTCGCAAAAATATTAACTGAGCAAAGTAAAAATGTAAAAATAAATAAATAAATTAAATAAATAAAGCCTTAACAAGCATTTTTGCATTTTTGTGGGTTAATATTGTTAGAAAATTAGTAAAAGCTATATTTTTAAACATGAATCATTGGTTTCTGAAGGAATGAACCGTCATGGGCCCTCCTCCTTGGGGGTGTTACTTCATTATTTGAATAGTCGTGGAGCAATCGTGGAATGGGAGGCAGGGAAAACCTGCCACCGACCGCATTGTCAACCACAAATTTCATTTGGCTCATCTGAGATTTAAACCTCGATACCGAAGGGTGGAAATCTGCACTGCACTATATTAGGGATGCAACATCGACAACAAAACAATGTTGTTTCGAAATACCGATTTAAAAATTAAAACAAAAATTGTTTAAAATTCATCGTGCCAAAGTCATCGATGCTTGTGGAACTATTTGAGTAACATCAGTGTTTACATGCGGGGGGGGGGAGCGATTTCATGGCACGGCGGTCGTGTTTAGTAATTTATAATTGAGATGTAGAGCACAAAACAAAGTTAAACAGTTCTCTAAACAATGAAGAAAACGTTTATTATCTCATTGGATGATTAAAAAATGTAACGCATTTATCAACAAAAATTCGACTTGTTTTCACATTTGGTGAGTTTGGCCTGGAGAATGTTCAAATTATGGAAGTCTGATTTTTCTCACTCAATTGGTCTAAGATCGCCAGGACACTGCCGCCCCAGCGATCTCGGCTACCCGGATCAGCTCTATTTTTTTATTATATTTTTTTCATTCACAGATGAAAATGACCAAGTAAAAGCATTGAGCTCAAAACATTGATGTTAAAAAACATCGACATCTATAAATCTGTGTTCAATGCATCGATGTTTGTATAAAAATATCGATATTTTGAAAACATCTACATCATTGTTGCAACCCTATTCTGTACGTGAGATTTGGCCCAACCGCTCTACAACAATCTCTCTCTGTCTGTGCCGCAGGTGAATCCGTCGTCTGCAGAGCGAGGATGGTGCTGGTGCGACGGCGCTGGTGCGCGTGGGGGCTGGGCGCGGGGGCGGCGGTGGCCCTGGCGCGCTGGTGGCCTCCGCTGACGGCCGCGCTGCCGCTGCTGGGGCTGGTGGCGCTAGCGCGCGCGGCGGCCGCGGGCGCCGCCACGTGGCTAGCGACCGCGCTGCCGCGCCGCCCGCTGCGCGACCTCCGGCGCCGCGCGGTGCTCGTCACGGGCTGCGACTCGGGCTTCGGCCACGAGGCGGCGCTGCGCTTTCACGCCCTCGGCGCGCCGGTCTTCGCTGGCGTGCTGCTGCCCCAAGGCCCCGGCGCCGCGCGCCTGCGCCAGATGGCCTCGCCGCGCATGCGCGTGCTGCCCCTCGACGTCACAGACGAGGGCTCCGTCGCCGAAGCGCGGCGCGCGGTGGACCAGTTTCTCAGCGAGGACGACTGCGGTAAAATATGCGCTTATCCACAGGCGTTGGTGGGACATGGCAAAAATGTATTTCTGGGGTGGGGATAAAGTAACTAGGTATTCAAAATCTATTGTAGTTGCTGAAAGATTTATTGTAATTTACGGTATTTAGAAACACGTATACACGTCAAGGACGGATCCAGCTGCTCATGTTAGAGGGGGTCATTATAGATTTTTGATAAATAATAAACATTTGTAATTATATTGGCTATGATTTTTGAAGAGTATAGTATATACTACACAATATTATTGTTTAAATAGTTACATGATTGTAACGTAAACATTTAAATCAATTTTGCCAAGTAAAAGAAGATAAACGAAAACTCTAGTCCTGGGAGGGGGGGGCATGGCTCCTATGGCCTTCCTCTGGATCCGCCACTGGATGGAGGGGCAAGACAAAAATGTACCTCCGGGATGGGCGTGTAGTACCTAGGTATTAAAAATCGATTCTAGTAAGATTTGTTTCAATATACGAGATTTAGAAACACGTATACATATACAGTCGTATTACAAACACGTGTAAACAACTTTATGTTACGTAGGAAAGCAAATTAATATTTCCAATCTCAACACAGGCGCTAGTGCTTCCTTAAGCTTTCACCGATACAAATTATTCTTTGCTGAAGGAAATTAATTGGGATGTAAGCCGTTACCTTTTGAATCGATTCCTACAGTTCCTACAGTGTGAGGGATTTAAACTTGTATACCTTAGTTTTGCCCCACAAGAAAAAAAATCATACGAAGATCTGGGCTTCTTGCTGGCCACTAGTGAGATATGCACCTCCCAAGACAACGTATTAAGACATTTCTGGTCCAACCATTTGCGAAGTTAGTGCAAAATGCATTAGTATTAGCATTAAGCCAGCATTAATTCACCAACTTCCATTCTTTGGCCACAGACTTCGAATTCCAAACTTTTGAACTTAATCTAGTTTTCGTGGACGAAAACTGAGTTTTTATTTAAAATGCGCGTGATGCTGCCAGCGGTAAACGTGTTGAAGTGAAGCAAGCGATACGAAATGCTAAAAAAAACTTAATATTATGACTCTGTTTTCCAACTTTAATTCATTAAATATTATTATAATTTTATCGAGAAATTAAAGAATACTTGGTTACTTTACAGCCCCAGCTGTATTAAACATGAATTGAAAGATTTGTTTCAAACTTCGAATATCATTTATCGGCTGAGTTTAGCACAGGCTGTCTGTAGCGACTATGCATTGCCGCTGTCTTTAGCGACTATGACTGGGGGTCCCAGGTTTGAGATCGCACGGTGGTGGATTTTTGACTCCAGCTAGGTCGAATTCAGTCAGTCTGGAGGGGAATACTAGCAGCCGACTGCTCCGGCAGTTTTCTCCAAGCACTCTCCTAGGGGAACGCAGAAGCAAAGCAGTTCCCTAATTAAGGGGCCACCGCGTAATCTTTTCTTTCTCTTCTTTGTCCAATCCATTTTTTCTCACACACTTCCACTTACATACACTACATAACAACACATGTCGGCAGACTGTGGTTGTCGCGACAAAGGCGATGCCCTACTGGAAGGAGACGCCTGGAGAATAACCCCCCTCTCCTCGAACCGACGTGTAGGTTGGCCCCGGATCTCATACACTTGGGAAGGAATATCGTCCTCTCAAGTGATAAAACATACACTTCACTAACGGTATTAATGACCAGCCGTTGACGAGCTCGGAAATATTGAATGACATCATTATTATTATTATTATTATTATTATTATTGTTGTTGTTGTTGTTGTTGTTGTTGTTGGATATTCTGAAAAGAGCTAGTTCCCCCTTCCATCCACATTCACTACAAAAAATTGTCACACTCACGAGGACCAACACACTCAGTCGTTCTCATTTCAACGCTCCATTAATCTAAAATATGTTATCTCCCGGGATGTGACAAGCGCATTGGGGAACGGTCCATGGGTTTGTCAGAAGCAATAGGACAAAAGACGTGACCAAAAGTAGTATGGCTTCTTGGGACACAAGATGTTTCAGTAGTTTTCCAAAACACACACATTCTGCCCTGACGTAGCACGGCGAAACAGAAAATGGGGACGATAACATTGACGTAAAGCCAAGGAATAGTTTTTCTTTTGCATTGCCAAGAATTGAACAAATGTTCTTGGTTTGTAATCAGTTGTCTCGAACGAAGAAGTTTGTCCGGAAAATTTCTCATCTAACAGCCAAAGGTTCTGAAGCCTTTCAGGCTTCGTGCATCACAAAACAGGGAGGGCTACTTACCTCCACGGTTCCATAACCATTTTGAACTCCTCGACTCTCTTCAATGAAAAAGAAATGGAAAGAGTTTTTGGGAAACTATTGAAATATCACCTCACGAAGTCAATCCGTACTATTGTACGTTGGCTTTTGGCAATCTTTAGAAGTACGTTTTAATTTATCGTTCCAAAGCTTCTTCGCCTTGCTGAAGATAAGCAAATGTTTCGTAAAACTTTACCAGACTGTCTACATCCCATTTTGACAATAGGCAAAATGTAGATCACGAAGACCCATAGGCGTACGCAGCCTACAACAAGCAGGGGGCCACATTTCTGGACCCCTCCAGACCCCTTCCTCTCTATCCATTAATAAATTTTATTTACATATGACACATTTAACTAAAAATAAATTAACATATTACAAGGAAAAATAAACTATAACTTAATTAATACAGCGAATTGTATTATTAAAAAAACAATTATTGATTTATGTTGAACCATTTATAAGATTACCAGATGGTTTGGAGAGCCTTTTCCCCAACTGCGTCAATTTCCCAAATTATCAGCTTAAAATTGAAACTAGAATGTTTTTTTATATAAAGATAAAATATTTTATTACGTAGGGCTACTCTAAATTTTGTGGCCTCTGCCCCTTCTTTGCGCACGCTCATGCCCAGGTCACAATGATATGCAGTGTTTGTGTTTTAAATTTATTTTTAACTTTTGAGAAACATTAAATACACTGAGCACTAAATAAAATAATGAATGTAATATTTTTTTACATTTCCAATTTTAATTCCCAATAAATTCGCGTGCCTTAAATGTTTAAAGTCCTTTTCAAATACGTGACTGAACTGGCTTAGGTGGCTCAGGGCATCAACTGATATCACTGCATTGCCTCTGACCGGGAGTTCGAGTCACGACGGTGGCAGGATTTTCGACACTAACTACATACTTAGGTCGAATTTAGTCGCTGACTGGAAGAGAATTCCTGCGCCCGGCTGCTCTAATCGATAGTTTTATTTAGTTTCTCCGATCAACGCCAGGCGAATGCTGGAGCAGTACCCTAGCAAACGGACCACCCACCGCGCGCGATCTTTTCTTCCTCTTCCTTGTCCTATCCTCGGCCCTTAAACTTGCATGCACTATCACAATTATCGGGGGAGGGGGCATGGCCCCCATGCCTGTGTGGATCTGCTACACTTCAGTAAACTCTGTTTTACATACCATGAAAATGTATAGTTGATGAGTGCATGTATGTATTGATGATAGTAAGAAAAATTCATTTGTTTTGAGTGTCGAAGAAAAAATATTTAAAGCTGAAGAATCTTTTGATCAATATTTAATGTCAGGTCAAATTCTGTTGAGCATTATTTAGATTTGTAAATTCAAAGTTTATCAATGTAGTAAAGCATGTATTTTCTTTTTTAAATGAAAATAGGAACTTTTCTTTGATATATGAACTAATGTTAGGAAAAATTGTAATGCACTTCGTCTTTTATTTCAAGCGCAGAGTGATATGGATTCAAAATACTTCAAAGAGAAGAGAGAAGAGATTCTAAAAAAATGATTTCATACCAAATAATATTCATTTTTTCATAACTTCTTTTCTAAATAATTTGGTTCCTGAACATATAAAAACTACATCGTTTTGTGTAATTTTTATCAGTGATCTGTATTGTCATTCATCATTTACTCATTGCAATTCTTATTATTTTCATGCATTAAAATTAATATTTGATTTCTGAGCTGGACCAAAATGGCTAGTGATTCTTATTTTGTTCGGGTATGCACTCCTTCTTTTTCTTCTTCTTTGTCGTCTTCTTTTTCTCAACTCAACAGGTAACTTGAATTATGTCACAATACTCTTATTTTAAGTATCGTCAATCATTTTTTGCAATGTCAACGTAATTTTTTTCAGAGTAAATACAAAAATATGTAGTACGTGATATCATGTTCATAAGAATATGATTAAAAACTTGCATTTCTCTCTTTATCTTTGGAAAATTTTTCAATCAGCTGACATGAACTATTTGGAATCACAAAAGGTTTCACACTTTCAGATACTTGTTAACTGTGTAATGTATCTGCAAATGTATATAGGATTTATCATCATTTGCCTTGTCTGAATTAGAAATCATTCCATCAACTCATTTCTAAAACGTACAAGAGTAGATCTGAAGTTTTAGAGAGAGGGGTTATTTTTTTTTCATTCAATACCGTATTTCATAATTTTCCAATTTAGAAAATATATAGCACACAAAACAAAATACTCCAATTTGCAACTCCTAAATTGTTCAAAGGGTAGCTAAACAAATTCACAGATAGTTAAAAATTTAATTCAAATTTTAGTTTTAAATAAACTGTAATTAAAATAATGTTTTGTTTCTTTTGGTTAGACAAAAAATGAAAATTTTTACTTTATGGACTCCCTAAAGCTAGGAATTTAATAATTGAATAACATGAATAATAAGATAATAAGAAATTTTTTTAAAAAAATTGCAACTGGTAATTGAATAGACAGAATAATTCCAAGCATGGAAAAAAGAAAACAAAATAAGCAATACAATTTTTTTTCTATTAGAGTATTTTGTTTCTCAGAATTGTGGGCTGTGGTCAACAATGCAGGAGTATTGGGTGTTGGAGAAGCAGAATGGATGGAAATGGAAGATGTGAAGAAATGCATGGAAGTGAATGCTTTTGGTCAAGTTAGAGTTACAAAAGCTTTCTTACCTTTGCTGAAGAAATCAAAAGGTCGAGTCGTTAATATCAACAGCCAAGCAAGTAAGTAAATGGTATTGGAACTTTTTTATAAAAATTAAATTGAACAAAATGTTAAAATCACGATTAAAAATAATTAAAATGATTTTGTCTAATTTTTGTGTAACATATGTGTTCATTTTAAGTGAACATTCATTGCCCTTTGTCCATTTAATAATAATTGTCATCTTATTTATCTCTTGTTTTGTAGGTACAATTGTTGCACCAACACTCAACCCATACACCATGTCCAAATTTGCATCCTTAGCATATACGGATTCTTTACGTTATGATATGGAAAAATTTTCCGTTTCTGTTCATAGTATTGAGCCGGCTATGTACAGGTGGGTTCTACAAATGAATGTTAATTTTTAATTCTTGTTCTAACATTTTTTCATTATATTTATAATAATATTATTAGTATATAAAAAGCCCCATTAAGTTTTTTCAAAACGATCATTTGTAATTTTCATTAATGGTCGTTTTTCTGTATCACTGCGAAATGTACAGTTATGTGAACATTTCGTAAGAAACATGGGCCTACAATTTTGGTCACAAAAATAATGGAAATTTTCACAGAAGTTCATTATTATGGAACAACAATTACGGAGAAAAAAGTTCATTTTTTCATAACTTCTGTGATGCAGAACATGACATTTAACAAAAAGAAAACAGAAAACTTGCATATTTTGTATTCTTAAAACACACACATAAAAATGAAAAAAATCTCTGACTATTTCTCAATTTCTTTTTAACTCAAAGAAACAGGAATTTAATAATCTTATCTTTTCTTTTGCATTTTGTTTTAATTTCCTCACACCATGCCTAAGCTCTATTTGCAACATGCTATTTTACAGCTGTTTTGTCATAATGTAATACAAAAATATATAGATTTATTTATAAAAAGTTATTCTATTCAGCTTTATCAGCAAGGAAATTTTACACATAATTCCAAATGCATTTTATTATATTTGATTTGACCTTCTACATCATAAACTTTTCAGAAAATTAGTCCTTCCATCTGAAGTGCCCTAGTCTGACAATGGTGCTGTGTTAACCTGATATCCTCCAATTATCATTATTAACTTGTTTTAAACGCAAGAAAGTTATTGTTTCACCACTGGCAATGTGCAAATTGTGTACATGATTGCAAATGTAATTTATTATATTTGATTGAAGTTTCTACATCATAAACTTTTCAGAAAAATAGATGGGTAACAGTCATTCATTCTGTAGTAGCCCTTCTGGAGGTTGCTACTCTGTCAACGGTGATGTTTTAATCTGATATCCTCGAATCCCCATTATTAATCGTTATTAAACACAAGAAAGTTACCATTGCACCATTGGAAATGTCCAGCTGTTCATCACCATAATTGTGATAAGAACAAATCACCAATTATCTTTACACTTTGTATAGTTAGGCTACTTAAATTTTTTTCATAGGTGCAATTAATTTATTAAAATTTTGAACTTTATATCAATTTTTGTTTTGTTTTAAGAACCCCTCTGGTACAGTCAGCCATATCTGTATGCAAGCAAAAATTGAAGCAGATACCAAATGATGTCAGAAATACTTATTGTGAACATTATGAACAAAAGTTTTTGGTAAGTTCATATAATCAATTCAAAGATGCGTTGTCAAAAAATATTTAATGTATACTCTATTTTGATACCATAAATCTTTCTCATTTATGTATTTTATTATTCCAGAAATTGCATTATTTATGTCTTCATCTGACAGCAATGCCACAGTCTAGAACCTTCCAAGTAGTTGATGCTATTGAAGATGCATGTTTTGACAAAGACCCTCAGGTTTGTTATTTTAATTACAATTGCTTCAGGGGAACCTCCTTAATTCACAATTTGATTATCCAGGAATACAATAGTCAGGAGGGGATGGTACTGAGTAGAGATAGAATGGGACATAGCATATACAAATAATGCTGTAAAACCTTGGCAACAACAACAAAAAGCTACGAGAAAATAATTCATATGTTTTAAATAAGAATCAAGGAAGTTTATAATTGTGTGAATTTGTCTCCTTGTTTTAAATAATTTATTGTTTAGTGATGAGTCTTGTGTATGGAATAATGAATGATAGAATAATGTCAATTTATGAATTCTGGGAATCTCAAAATATTTCATGTAATGAACATTAAAGTGAAATATTATTTTTCAGAAAACAAAAATAAGCATGCAAAAAAAGGAATATATTTAATTTTGTTTCAGGATACATACATTCCAGGAGAAGGTTCCAAGTTTACAAGTTCTATAAAGGATATTCTTCCTTTTCTTGCATCATTTACATTAAAAATTTTATATCGATAAATTAAATACATGCCAGAGAGATAAATATAACCAATAAGTTACTCTAAAAAATCATTACCTATTAAAAACATAAAATAGGCCTCTTCTGAAGTTCATGAACTATTCTGTACTTAAACCAGAAAAAATTGGACTGACATATAAAAATGAGGTGAATAAAATATATAAGGCCTTAGAAAATCAGACTCCTTTTTAAAAAATTCATCACATTGGCATAGTATACACATTGGCACATGTAAACTAGAGAAAAGAGAATATATATGAAGAAGAAATGTGAAGAGATACATAAGAATAATTGAAATTAAATACATTTTCATTTAAGTCATCTGTATTTGCATTTGAAATAACTACTCTAAGTATTAAAACTGAAAAAAGTAAATAAAGTCCTTAAAATTTGTGACATTTCAGTTTCTTGTTAATTCACTTTCAAAATAAGTTGTATAAAGGTAATGAATAAAGTTAACACTTTTAATAAATATAAATTTATATTAAAACTTTAACATCTTGCATTTTTGTTGTTGCTTTTTCTCTTTGCTGCAGCTCAAAGTAGTGAATATTTTTTTTTTCATTTTCTCTTTCCTTTCCTTCTCCTCCTGTACTCCTTCTTCTTCTGCTGCTTCTTCTCTCCATCTTTTTCTTTTATGTCATGTTATGCAAAACAATTAGTTCAAAAAAATTTCGTTCCGTTCCTTTCAAAAAAATAATTAAAAGATTTGAGCCATTTTCGGGAAAATGTCGACTCAGCATTTTTGAAAATATGGAAATTCAAGCTCACTTTCACAGAAAACATTTTTAGTTTTTGAGAAACTTTATAAGATATCATTTAAAGTACTTGTTTTTAAAAAAAATGCAATAATGAATACAAATCATGCTAATGTAATTATTAACGATGCGAGAGAGTGTGATAAGCCAGATACCCTCAGTTTTGTTTGTACCAACGAGCTAGACTATACTAGCTTTATATTTGTAGTATGTTCTACCTCATTGATTTGATCATTAAAACGGGGCATAAAGAAAAAATAGCTTTTAAATTAATACATTTAGAATAAGAAAGGGCATAGAATACATGTTCAGGGTGACAGGTAAAAAAGAAAATATGTTTATTGGTCGTGAGAATGACACATTCATTTGAGAAGAGGGAAGCAGGACCCCACATTGAATATATAAAGAATGTATGGAGGAGGTGGTGCGTTGTGTGGTCTTGTAGAAATATTGCAATACTCATTCTTTTTCACACCAGCTACCAGGCCGGACACATCAATTAGATGGTACGAGCACATTCGGTTTAGATTGGAATTAGTATTTGTCGATTACAGGGAAGTACTACACGATAATTTGTAGCTAGTTGTCATCAATTAAAAATAATCATTTTCAAATAACAGATCTTCCAGGAATCGCAATTCTGTATAGACTTACATGTCTACGTACGTCAGGTACGAAGGTAGCAAGTAGAGTGAATACAATAACATACAGTACAGAACAAGTTGATGAGCATAGCAGTGCAAATAAATTATATCATATTTCTAGATTAATATTATGTGGAATCACAGAGCTTCCTCAAGCAGGACAGTAATAATATCAAAAGTAGAAAGATTCATTCTTTAGTAATATACCAATAATTAGTAGATAGTATTATTGATTATATATAATACTTACATTGAATATCACAGTGTAGGTATATCACAAATGGGAGTTTCACAAGAGATATAAAAAAAGTGTGTTATTAAAAAAAAACAGCAATAGGGAGTTAACGTCATCTTATGCACTACATTTAGCGTATACCTACCAAAAGTTTAAAGAAATTATTTGAAGCCGGTTTTGAGAAATTTTTCTTTATATTTTTTATATTGCACTAAAACTACTACACATTTTTAAAAAAATGTGCATGACTTTAATGAAATAACTAATAATGGAAAACAAATTTCATTTGAAAAAAATATATATGTCTTCAATATTGCAATTGTGGGGAGACGCCGATAAAAAATCAAATTTCTGTAATTTTCAAAAGTCAGAGTTAACAGTGAAAATTGGACCAATTCCTTCTTGATAAGTGTATTTCACTCTATTCATAGAAAAAAATTAAAGAAAAAATTTGCTTCATGTACCCCCCCCTTTTTTTTTCCAATTTCAATTATTGATCGCAGTTAAATAACGCGGGAGAGGGGAGGTAAATTTGATCCTCCTTAATTTTGTTTTGTCTTACTTCTTTTCAAATCTTATTATCTTACAACATTTTTCTAATTCTCAATTTTTGCCTTCAAAAATAATCTTAAAGAAGTTTCTTCTGGTGTTCATAACGACTGTCCTTGTATTTCAATGCCGTGAAAGAATATTGTCGAATAGGAAGTAATAATTTGTTTTAAAAAGAGAAGGTCGTCAAAGCCCCTTGTAATAAAAATAATATCTGAGTAGGAAACGTAATAAAGGAACGGGATCGGTCTCTTTCGACCGCTGACCATCCTGCTGTTAACAACGGATCTGGTCCGTTGCGAGTTTTCATTAGGTGAGTCGCGTGGTGGACCAACACCATCTACGTGGTGTTGGGTGAACAATGTCAGCAGTATAGCTCTGAAGAAGGTCAACAAGATGGCCGAAACGTCAGTACAATTGACCGAGACGAAGCTCATCCCGGATAGCCAAGAATGCATTGACTCCGGCTGCGGAAGCCTACGAACCCATTTATCGAACCTCTACGGGGAGTGTATGTTTAAATTCACCAGAAGATTCAGCCAACTGAGAATTGTTCGCAGCAGTGTAGCTCTGAAGAAGGTCACAGCAAGATGACCGAAACGTCAGTACAATTGACCGAGACGCGGCTCATCCCGGATAGCCAAGTCATCAGTTAAGACATAACGCTGAACGTAAGAAAGGAGTGGGCTAGCATAATGTTTACAATCAATTAGCATCAGAATAATTAAAGAATAATTTATATAATATTAACAGCACATAATTTGTGGATTGAAGAGAAACGAATATGTTTAGGCGAACGCATTTAGATCAGGACTTTCTCATTTATCAAACATTTATTTGTGACGCGGCAAAATGCCCGCCAAAGGCTAAGTCAGGGGAATACGCATCGTTTCAGGATAGCTATCCAACGAACTGACAATAAAAAATTCAGCAAATGCGCGGGTTGCTATTTTTCGTTGCAAATGGGCATTATATATTATCGCGTTAACGGGGCGAAATAGGGTACGTCATCGCAGCGACGTAATAGGGAAGACTTCACGAACATTGGACGGATTCTTCACCCGGAGCTCATCCAGGAAGGTATTGAATGCGCGCGAAAACACGAAATAACATTTAAACTGATTTTGTGTAAAGATAGTTCGGAATAGAATCGGTAGTTAATATAAATGAGCTTATTCAACCATGTTAATGCTTTTCAATGGAAATAAATATTATATTTGTTGTTTGAAACAAGGCTAATAATTCATATTTAGTTGCAATCACTCAAAGTATTTCGTAGCTAACAAAACTTTCAGAAATCGCTGGTCCGTACGGACGACTCGTCCACATACGATCAGGTAAGCTATAGTTTGTCGTATGTCGATACCCACAAATAAAAAATATTAAAGGGAATGTTATTGAAATTATTAATTACGAAATATAGACAAGAGCAGAGTTGGACAAATTGAAATTACATAAAGAACGAATATAAGTATTAGTATTGGCATCAAGCAATTGTGAGCATTTAGGCAGATTTAATTATAAATAAAAACCAAAGAACAGCACGTTCATTTCAATGTATAACCGTTGAAATCTCAAAATCTATTTTCCGCTGCATTGCGTAACTTGCTTTGTAGCATACTAATAATGTATACGAGAAAGTGAATTGTGATGCTACAAATGGCACATACTCTCTCGCGCTAGTTCGTTTTCCATCACTTTCCGGATAAGCGCGCTAGAGTCCCTAGATACAGATATTTATACAGCGATTTTTCTGACTCTGCCCCTGGAGGTTCTACTTCACGGCGGCATTATGCCACTGTATTTCGCGTCTTTCTCGGTCTTACCGCTAGATGTGGCATGATCGCGACCGTATCCAGCCTTGTTGTACGGTCGCGATCATGCGACACCTAGCAGACCGACGGAGAAAGACGCGAAAAACAGCGACATAATGCTTGCAGGGGCCTTGAGTAACATAATGAAGTAGAGCCTTGAGGGCGCTTGAGGGGTACAGTTTGAAAAATCGCAGTATATGGACTCTAAAGCGCGTCGTGCTGGGTAGAGTATGCGTGTGCCTGCTCCTTTTCATATTTCCAAGCTCGTGCCAAGAAAACGGGGAGGTTTAGTCGAGCGCCGCTCATTTGTCGTGCGACAGTATTGTTTCAATTATTTAGATCAAAATTCACCACAGCGCAACACTTACCAAGATATGATTGTTTACAATTTATATTTGCGCCTGAAACAGCTAAGAGCTGTAGTTGGAAGATGGCTTACGCAAATTTGCAAAATTGTACCGATGACGGCGACTTGTTCACTTTGTAATTTTCGAATTTCAAATTTCGCTCACAATGTTGCCTATTATATTTTGCTGTTTCCCCACTGTTCAAATACTAATGTACATCTATCGAAACTTAAAACATTATGTTGCGACCTCATGAGTTATCAGCTTGCGATCGTTCATCAAACGATCTCTACTATCATTCTTCTATCTCTTTCTCGTTGCAATTCATACCTCCGCCTTTCGTCTTCTCTGACCAAGAAGTTCACAAAAGAGCACCTTCTTAATCATTTCTGTGCACAATGTTTATTAGCTCTGTCTTATTTTACTTCCTCGTGTACGTACGTATAGATATAGAGTGATATAAGTGGTGTAGATAAAGTTATGTAATCATGTGACCTTAAACGGCGAGTTTTCGACATAAAAATTCGTATTGAAGGACTTAGATACAGAAAAATTGGATACATCTTGCTGCAATGTGTTGTAAATTAATTGCTCTGACATGTTGAATCCAGGACTTGTGGGCCCAAAATACTTACCTAGTCAATAATGTAAAATCAACAGAAAAGAAAATATGTGAGATTTACTAAGTATCACGCCATGATTCAAAATATGGGCTTAGATTTGCTCTAACACGAATAGTTTCTGGGATAGGACGGTTTTGGTGACTGCGAATTCCCAACATCAAAGCCATTCCTTTCAGAACTAGTGTTGCATATGAAATAGCTGTCCTGGAGAAAAAGAGGTGTATGAAACATTTTGGCTAAAATCCAGGTCATGGAAAATTTTATCTGAACAGGGGAGCTAAGAGTCATTTGTCATTGTAGGTGTCGCATAATAAAAGTACCACTTTCGTATTGGCAGATTGTTTTAATATTAGTCAATTCTCAAGTCGCATTTTATTACATAGATCACTGGAATATGATGTTCTTTGCCGTGTACATGGTAAATACTTTACCATACATAAATAATATTCGTATGCACTATCTTGTAACTTGTCATACATATTTACCAAATGATGTTAACTTCTTGTTCATTAATAGAGCTCAACATAAGCAAATCCACATATTTACCCCTAACGAGTGAATGAAATTGGTAAAACATTGTACGAAACAGTCTCCTTACGTTGTTCACAATATGGTGGGTAAGTTTGTGTCATTCAACCGACCAAACCAGATCTTTAAGAATTGTCACGTTTTAATGGGGGATGGTTTGATGGTTTCAAAGATCCAAAAACTCAAAATTTGTCATGGGATTATTTGTGATGCATTATGATGATGATTTCATGGACATTTACAAATCATTTGATCTAAAACAACGATCTGTAAGCCCACAGAGCTTCATAGATTTCTTGCAGAGCTCCAGATACGGCAAGTATTGCTATTTTGCTTACTTATAAGAAATTCAGGATTTAAAGAAACTTAAAATTTGTTCCTCCAGTGCTTCACCTCTTTTACCTGCCCTTACACACCACAACCATAGGAGCATTACAGTAAACGAGGCGGAGGATGTTCTTCTAGTCCATCGAGATGATAAATATCTTGAGAGTGTGGTTATTACCAATGCGTAAAAGGTCTATGTAGCAATAATTTGTTAAAAGTTGTATTAAGGTTGTGAAAAGGGTTTAAATAATGGTATTTTTGGAGTACTCAATGTTAAGTACATCTTTACCTTCGTATATATGTCAAAGGTCCCATAAAATGTAAATATTTATTGGAAACGTAAGTAAAACGCGTTACATTGATTTTCTCTGTTTTTACTATTCGTACCATATACCACTTTAGTTCCAGAAAACCCAAATGAGCTTTTTATTTTGACTAGTGTAGTATCTCAAAAATCATAAAGATACGGATATAAGTGCATATATTCACGTGCTGTTAATGAAGTTTTCTAAAATCTCTCCTGGATTAAGAAATATTAATATCGACCAGTGTTGTGTGCGGAAGAGCGGTTCCTTTTGATCTCTATCAATGTGTTATTAAAACTACCATCAAAATGCTTAGCAAATGTAAAAATATCCTAAACACATTTTGCTGCGTGTGTGGTTCCTTCACAACAAAACGTCAGCGGCGTGGATCCCAACATAATTGTCTATCCTCTTCACATAAAGCTTGGATTAATTGTTTGGTGAAGACGTTAGGTAAGGTGAACTCTGGAACATTTCACTATCTCAGCAGGGATCCAAAAATCAGCTCAGCAAAAATGAAGGAATGAATTTTCCCGGAACTCCAAATCCGAGAGATTTAAACACATTATGCGAACACGCAAACGATGACTCCAGAAGAACAATATGCTGCATGAACAAGTTTTCAGAGGGCAAGTGAACGTTTCTACACGACCTCAACATTTCTCAACGTTACCAATAAATTCTTTAGTCAGGGTGAGAAATGATGAGGAAATGCAAGATGTGGAGAGGTAATGTTACCTGTATTGAAGTTAGCAGTAATTTTAACCTAACCATAGAATAAATCTTTATAGCATAGCATTATTATGTAATTAAACATGTTTGCAATACAAATTCTTGTTTTCATTTATAAATTTATCTTGACTTGTCTAATTGAACATTTTGCGGACAATTTTAAATGAATATGGTAAGTACCTTTTGTCAACAAGACGCACTTAAGTAATAATATCTTAGTCATCTGACATAATACGCACCTTAAATCTAATCAAATTGAAAACAATGCTACATTGAATACGATAAAGTTGGTTTAAAGTAAAATAATTATAAGATATAATTCATGGACCTCAATAAACAGTTTTCGTTATATCTCAAAACTGCCTTTGTGACGCTTATAATTGTTTAGCTCCAAGGCACATAATTGTCTGAATGCGTTATTTGTCACTTATATAAACAAAAACAAGAAGAACCTTTCAAATTTGTATTAAGCATTTACAATAAGATATAACGAAGGTGGCGAAGATTTAAAAATAACTTCGCTGGTAAATGAAGAAACTACGTTTTTGAATATTGCAAGGCACCAAATGGTATTATTCACGAGTATAGAAAGTCTTCGTAATGGTCAAATATATGCAGAGATCAGAGGGGATATCCAAGGTATATTGGCAAATGCTTGCATTGTATGCGGAAGCCTCAAAATAGAATCATGGAAAAGGTGGAAAATATTTTTTTCCAAAATGACAGTGTTCGTTAATGCCAAAAGATATACATTGACAAAATAGTTTTCAACATTACTCGTGAGGAAATGACAAAGATTATCACGAGCTTCTTAGATTTAAAGTTAAAATTTTCTTGAGGGAGTGTATCGTTCTCTTCAACATATGCGCGCACAAAGTCAAAAAGTTATTATGTTACGACTTTTTGAGATTTTGAGACACAAGGGCGTACCACGAGTCTTAGCTTCGTGCCAGATTCAAGTATAGAGGTTACAATAAATTGGGAAGGATTCGCCGCGTGCACGATGGGGTCGTGCATGCATTGCCTATTGCGGAAGATGTGGTCACGGGTTCGAATCCCGCGGTTTTTCGAGGGATTTCCGAGGAGCCTCGTAATTAAAAAACCAAGTAATAGAATAATATTATACGTTTCGTTACACTGATCCCGGACGAGTTTCGTAACGAACTTGCAAGTATTTAATTATACTTATAAGTCTCGTTACGAGAGTAATCCATCGGAAATCCCTCGAAGATTGTCCCCTTCGCCGGGAGTCGTCGCGCGTCTGAATCTTCTTCGAAAGCGATATCATGAGGTCCCATCGGGGGCGTTTCCCAAAAAGTAATGCTGATTATTATAAACAAAATGCTCATGGCATCACACTGGGACCTCCCAAAGCAGAGCAGACGTGGGCGGGCTTGGCGGAGGTCCCGGAGCACGGGCCGTGTGTGTGGAGACGTCTTTACATGATTGATGGAACACATTTTGGAACATGTTAATTTTAAACGCATTTGATGTTCAAATACTTTTTTAATTAATTAATTTCATTTTTGCTCACCAATCTCACTATGTCGGAGAAAAAAGCACCACGAGGTATCGATAGCGGAATGAAGCAATTACTATTTAATGAAACAAGTATTAATTAATTAAATTTTAATGACTCTAATTAACTACACAACTACTATTAAAATATTATTGATGAAATAATACAATTAAAATAAAGCAATAGAATGTATTAATGAAACAATATATTAAAAAACATAAATGAAAAATATAATATATTGTAAAATACAATAGTATGAACCAATTAACGAAATTGAATGGGATTCAAAGAGAGACAACTTCACACAACGCGATTCAGACAGGATTTTTTTTATTGAGATGCTAAACATGTAATTTGAATCCAAGAGGTTTGGTTTGAATGAAGCGGTAAATCATCTCTTCTCTGCCGCATGGTTGGAGGAAGAATCCAAACACATGGACTTCTATTAAGTTAAAAATACAGTAATAACAACATTAATTATAAAGGCGAGCCGCAAAAAAATGAAAAATAGAACAAAAGCGCAGGACTATGCACATTTTTTTAATCGAAAGGTTTTATTTCGTTCGTTATTGGCATTTTGAAATCGATTCCATCAAGAATCGGAAGAAGCAAAAGAATCGAATACAGATTTCACAAGAATCGAAAGAAAAGAATCGATTCCAGAATCGAATTGGTAGAATCGGAACGTGCGTACGGGTGGTGGAGATTGTGAACGTCAGTGATGGAGTGAAGGATTAGAAGTGAAGTGATCGTAGATTAAAGTATTGTTTTCGCACTATAATTTAACAATTTTTCATTGATAGTGCGTGTTGTGATTGTCCTGTAATTTTCCTGTGACAGTTTTTGTTAATCTTCCAAAATGTCGGAGCGAAAAGTCTTAAATGTAAGTTGGGTTGCCTTAATGCTTCTTGAATATAACCTCATCTCTGCCGAAATTGTGTAAATTAATGATTATTTCATGCATTCTCTCTCAGAAATACTATCCTCCGGATTTCGATCCTTCAAAAATACCTCGGATGAAATTGCCGAAAAATCGGCAATATACAGTCCGCTTGATGGCACCATTCAATATGAGGTAAGAAAATGACAAATCCCGTTGTTGGACATGTTACAATGAGTAGTTTTGAAGTGTGCCCTAACACAATTTCAGATCTCATTCCAACTCATTTGCAATCTCTGGTAATACACGTCTTAGACATTTGGTCACTTTGTAAATATAACATTAAATGAACTTAATTGTTTCTTGTTTAAAATTAAATCAGTGTTTTAAAAATTTGATGTGTTTCTATTAGCATTTTTATATGGAAATTGTATATCTCTCTCATGTAAACATTTCATTGGAAAAAGGAATTTGTATATTACTTATCGCTCTTGTAAATGTTACATATAAAATAACCCTTAGGGAATTGTTCATGAATCTTCCTAATTATTATTCTTTGTGATATTTTTCAAATGATTGCAACATGAATGGGGTGTACATTTGGAGGCAAGAGTTTGTTAATTTTTCTGATTTTCAGAAGGGAAAAAAAAAAAAAAAAAAAAAAAAAAAAAGAATTGATAATGTATTATCGAGTTGGATTTTAATGTAATATCATCTGTGAAACATGACTCCCCCCGTTAGTATTAGAATAATTGCAATCTTTCAGTAATCTTTATCGTTTAGAAATATATCAAAAAGTATTGTCCCACATATTCATGTAGTTCTGTGAGTGACAGTCATAAATTGTTGGATTTTTTAATTACAGGTGTGTTACTTGTGGAGAATACATCTACAAAGGAAAAAAGTTCAATGCTCGCAAGGAGGATGTTGAAGGGCAAGATTATTTAGGGATCCGCATTTACAGATTTTATATAAAGGTATGTTTATGCATAACTTTAATATCTTACACTCTTTACTTTTATATTGTCAGTGTATTTACTTAGAGTGGTTATTGCAGCAGATTGTTTCTATTTTTGCTTGCAGTGCACACGATGTTTGCAAGAAATATCTTTCAAAACTGATCCAAAAAACACAGACTATGAGATTGAAGCGGGAGCTACACGAAATTTCATGGCACTTAAATTAGCTGAAGAACAGGCTCAAAGAGAAGAAGATGAGAGACGTGAAGATGAAGCTACTAACCCTATGAAAGTGGGTTTACATTTTTGGAGTATTTGTTAATGTTAGAAAAGTAAATCTTGAACTACCTTGTGCACTTCAAAAGGCTATCCATTAGTAATAATTTTGTTATTGAAATATTAAGTAGAGTGGAAGGGGAGTTTGTGAACTCTTTGAAGTATTGAGATCTGAAAATAAAAAGGTTCAGTCTGCAAACAACCTGTTTATGCAAGAGTGTGTTTTCAAGTTAACCACTACTAAAAGTACTGTAAAAATCGAAATAGTTTTATAATAATGGGTGTTCTGATTTCAGGAATTAAAATGTTAAAGATCAATTCATGTATAAACTAGAGGTTTTTTTTGAAGGGCAAATCTTTTTATACTAAATATATCATTTAAATGAAAAGTGAGATGTTTCTCTCTAAGTTATATAATTTTATGATGAAGAAATGACTTTATAACACTCAATAATTTCACTTTCACACTCATTAAATCAGCTGTTGCGATGTCATCCAGTCAAGAAGTTGAACATCATAGTGACGTCACTGTAGTGATGTAGAAGCTCGTGCTTGGATGATACCACAACAACAGATTTCGTCAGGGGCAGCTCTGAATAAATCGAAGTATAGTAATAATCTCAATTTTTTATAAAAATTGCTCAACGTTCCATAAGAAAATTAAAATTTAAAGAACATTTTATTGCAGATTGTTGGTACTTATTCCAAGAAGGGTTTTGTATTTGATAAGTCTTACAATCAATTCTTGATTCTTAATGTGGAGTTGATGACTGGTACAGTGTCATTTGTGAAATCTTTTTTCTAATGAAATATTACTGAGTGTTACATGAAGTGGTGTCATTACCATGTCATTAGCACATTACCATAGTTAAGTTAAATTAATTAAAATTACCTCTACTGTGATTAATGTAGGGAACGTTACATGCAATAGTTTTGAATGTTCTTGTGATTGAAAGATAATAACTTTTTGACTGTTGATCAGAGATTAGAAAACTTCTTTTGGGTTTTGTGGAGATTGTTTTATTGTTTTTCGAGATTCTATCATCATTGACTTGATCTTATGTTCCTATATTGTTTCAGTTACTTGAAAATCGCACCAAACAATCAAAGCAAGAATTAGAATTGCTTGAATCTTTGGAAGAATTAAGAGATTTAAATCGTCGACAAAGATCAGTAGATTATGACTCCATGTTGTCTCAATATGATAATAAAGATGTATTAAAAAAATTAGAAGAACAACAAAAAGCAGAAGATGAAAAATTTATAAAGTAAGATCCTATTTCCGTTTTATTAATCTTTTAGTATCAGCCCTTAGAGAAAACTGTAGAATTTTAAAGAGGGTCAATGATGATTAAGAAATGAACTTCGGTTAAAATACTGACATTTGTCTCACAACAACTTACACTTCACAAACAAACAAATGCAAATATACACTTACGAACAGCAAGAAAAACTCTTTTCTTAAAAACCAATGTCCTAAAACTACCACATACTATGAAATGATTTGAAACCTTCAAATAGAAAATTGTTTTTAGGTTTCCTGTTCTTGACTAGTACATTTCAAGCATGTCAAATGTCTGTCATTGTATTGTTCTGTATTTCTTTATCTTGAAATTCAAGAATATTTCAACTTGGAATATTGAGTGTTGTTCTCACTCCAGGGTAGTATTTTTTCATATCTGACTTTTACATTTTCCCACTCTCCTTTTGTGTATTCAGAACTATTCTTTTCTTTAATGTTCTTCGCTCATTAACATTTTTTTCATTTAATTCATCCATTAAATCAGCAATACAGCAAACCCTGATTAGCATGTTCTCGTGTAACACAAATTTCATTGTGGAATAAAATGTGAGTCTCTGCAAGGAATCATAGTAATACAGATATTTATATAAAATCAGGATACATGAATTTTTACAATACACATGCAGATTATCTCCTGGAATTCACATTAACCTTAGTTTAGTAAATAAATTACTAATTTACTGACAATCACATTCTCCATATAAAAAGTAATTATTCTCAGATGTTTCTCATTAACATTTATTACAACTACCAATCCAACTTTTCCATCTGCTTCTCTCAGTAGCTAATTGGTCTTGTTTGTAGTGTCAGTGAATAAAAGAATGTTTGTTTCTTTTTGTATTGGTTTACTATCCAAGCCTTGCATATTCCTTCAATGTTTTATGTATTCTTGGCTTTATACTAATTAAATTAATTCATTGTCACACTGTAAATAATCATCCATTCCTATTCCTTTTTTAATTATTTACATTGTGACACAATTTGTTCATCACTGAATTGAGTTGGCTTGTGGCTATACAATCAGACTCCATTGAGTTCAATTTCTTCAACAATGAGTGTTCATTTTAACCTGTGGTTACCCATAATAAGTAGGCTCACGCCTGTGCTCACAATGTATCTTTCAGATATGGTTTGAACTTTTTGTGAATGCGAATCTGAAGCTACTGAAATCTCTGAATTCTTATGAGAAGAAAAGTAAAAATTGATGAAGTACACACAAAAATCATTAAGCATCTTATTATTATATTAAATAACATTAAAATAATATACACAAATAATTTTGGCATGTACTCAGCATACATATTTTATATTTTTCACAAAAATATTTAAAAAGGCTGTCCTGTTTTCGTTTTGCAATGCTCACATTTTTTTCTTATCCCTATAGATGTCCCCTGCACATCATTTTTCTCTTTAGGAAGAAATTGTGATAGTTGATCCTTGATAAGACAAATTATTACATTTTCTTTTGATATTTCTCACAGTCCTGGCTGTAAATAATGCCATGATACGAATCCCTTAAGTCAGGAGCTCAGCATTGGCGCCAGTGTGCGTAACGTATCTGTCAGATATCATGCAGCTCGGCGATCAAATTTCAACATGCTCACAGGAAGTGATTCAGCAAAAGAATACAAATAAAAGACCAGGTGATCTCAGAAAAGTACAATGAAGGAATACATGAAATATCGGACAAGTACATCGTAATAATTCAGGAACATAAAATTGCTGTGGTTTGGGTCTTGCAGATCTATTGCAATCACACCCGGGTAAATTATGTCCACTAACTAAAAAAAATATTTTTGTGCCCTGCCAATTGTGGTAGCACAATATCTATTACAGGCTTGTGCAAAGTTTCAAACTATGGATATTAATATTATGAGCTTTATAAATTATCTTAATTAATTTGGCTGTTAGTTTTTTACATAATAAACAGTTCATCTTGAAATGTCTTTACTTTCTGGGATGAACAGTTTGAGTAAAACCGAGATAAACACATAATTTAGTTCTTTCAAAATAATGTTATCTTCAGAGTGTGTACAAAACTCTTGTATAAAGAATCAAATGCGTGATTTTCCAGAAAAGTCAAATGTAATTTTCTGATTACAAGCTGTAGATCATTTAGTTAGATATCTGTCTATTGTGTTTCAGTAATTTCATAAGACACTTTCTAATTGGAAAAAATACTCCTTGTCTGAAATTGTATTATTTTCTTCTTTGTGTTATTTAGTAATAGAGAAGTCATTAATATTGTTGACATAGGTGTTGGGTTTATATCCCTATTCTTCTTTCAAAAAACATTATTCTAATAATTATTGAAAATCATTGTTTCTAATTTGAAATTATTAATTTGTTGATTTTAATGAGCTAGAATCAGAGTGCTTCCTTTATGTTAGTAAAATTGCTTGTAATTTGTGGTGTGATTTTATACAATCATTTAATAAAAATACTAACAAAGTTATTAATCGTTGTGAAGAAATTAATCAGATTTATATGAAAAATATATTGCCTTATCCAGTAATTATAAATTTAATTAATTTCTCACAAGTAGAGACTTATTAGAGCATAAGTTTCTGTGGCCGGAGTCAATTACTACTCATTTGTTTGGGAGACACTGCATCTTAGGCACAGGTGCCAATGTCATGACCACCATTCTTCTTGCATGTTGCTCTGAAGAAAGTTGCAGAATGGTGGCCGAGATGATGACACCTGTGCCTGGGATGCAGCCAAATACTTGTATTTATAGAATTTTTTGTTTCCTTATAAATAATAATGATAATGATGATTATAATAACAATAGTAATAATAATAATAATAATAATAATAATAATAATAATAATAATAATAATAATAAATAATAATAAAATTAAAAAAATAAAAAAACATTGTTAAATGGACGAGATGCACAGTTTTGAGGTAAATAAAACTGAGAAAGGTATTGTTTTAAAAAAATGTAAATAAAAGAACACCCAAAGAAAGGTTAATTGTGCTTTGTTATTTTGCATTTCCTTGAATACTTTTTGGGTTTGTGCAGGTCTGTATTTGGCTCAAAGAAAAAAGTAGTTGAAGAAGAAATTATTGAAGAAACTTCTGCAAGTTCTGCAGTGACAAACAGCATTGCAAGTATGAAGAGAACAGCAGATGATTCAAAACCATTATTACAGTCAACATGTACATCTTCCAAAATGTTTGAAAGCAATAGAGATGAGCCTCAAAGTAAAATATTGAGAATTTCCAGTAATGAGGATAAAGAGGTTAGTATTAATGTGACGCTCTGATTTTATTATTTTGTTTCATTTCTTTTTCTTTTTCTTGAAATAACAATTACATGAACCTCTCTCATTCAAAAGAAAAATTGCTTTTACCATCTCCTGCTATCATATGATGAGATTTCTTTTCTTAAAAATCTACATTTATCTTAATCTAAATCTTTTCTTAAAAATCTACTCTTTGGATTATTAAGCTTAGCTTTATAATCTAGCATCAATCCAGGTTTCATTTGCTTTATCTATCATTCACTGCCCATCCCTATTGTACATTCCCTCCAACAATCCATCATTTTTTTCTTCAGTTGTTCAAGAATCATCATTATTCATATTAAATCATTCATAAGATGTATCATCATTTGGCCTTATGTCATGTTTTAGAGAATAATGAAGTACTTTTTGGATACAGGAAACCCAACTGAAATATAGATGATAAAATTCAATGACTGCTAAAGTGCTAATCCTACCTTCTAGAAATTCTGAAAATTGAGAGGGACATTTTCTCTTATTGACAAATCATGTATTTGCTCTTTAGTAGATAATTATGGGCAGAATTTGTTTCTTAGTTTTCAAAATTATTTCAAAAAGTATATAAAATTTTAAAAACATGTTTAATATAGGTACTAACTTGTTACTTATTCTGTGATTTATTTTGTTGAATATAAATAAGAATCTTTATCTGAAACTAAGGCAAAGGAGGAATGCAAAAACAATCTTAATTTTTGGGAGCTTATTCAGAGTTTAGCCTGCTAATATGTTTGTCTTAGGCATGTGTTTTATATATTTGTCTCACGTTTTGGGTGAACTTGTTTCAGGATTCAGATAAGAAAGATTCAGAATCCTCCCAAAGCAAGAGGACTTTAAGCAAGCCAGTAGGTGGTCAATGGAATAAGAGCATAGGTGCTGTGAATAATAAAAAGGGTGCCCTTGCTGGCTTAGTACGCATCAAGAAACCCATCAGTAGTGAACAGAGTTCAGGATGTGATCAAAAACAACCATCAGCAAGTGATGCCAAGGATAATAAAACTACAAGTTCTGCTTTGACAGGTCTTTCTTTACTTGGTTCTTATTCAGATTCAGACAGTGATGGAAGTTAAAAGTGGATACACAATGTTCTATTTGAAAATATATTAGGTTTAATGACGTAATTTACATTAAAATCTTAAGTAGTAAAGTTTATGAGAAATTCATAAGAATGAAGGAAAGTTCTAATGTTTTGGAGAACATTGTTATGTTCATGAAATATTGTAATTAATACTTACATTTATCATGTAGGTAGGAATAAGTAAGGCCATTTCTATAGTGACAATGTAAAACCCATGTTTAAAATTGAGACACTGTTATTTATTAATCATGAAGTAAGCCTGTTTATATTGTACAAATACAATAGAAAAATAAAGTTACATTTTAAAAAAGTTTTGTGGTTAAATATTATATAAAAAGAAAAAAACAAATGTATCCTACGCGTTTAAATAAATCTTTCTAAATTTTATAAATTTACTCTCAGAATTAATATCATACTCCTAAAATAACTCTTCAAGGTAAATCTTGGGACCTCTTCTCAATTCTGCTTAGTCTTTTTTCCTTAGAGAAACAGGAACTTTCGTTCTCTGTAAAGAAAAAAACAGAAAGTTGTGAAATGAAATTAGTTTGTTTTATTTTATTGTGAGGAATGCAGAAAGCAACATCAATTTTCAGGGGCAGGTATTGAATATTGTTGTTTGCTATGCATGTTATGAAGATTATTGATTTTAAATTAAATTGCCTAAATAAAAAGGAGGGGTGAGAAGATTTTGCAGATAATCATGACAAATACCTCTTTTACGCTTTCTGTTTATTTCAGTATTAATATAAAGGAAAAATTACAACTCATAATGTGACAAGTTCAGAACTTTACCCTTGCAGTAACGAAGTATTTTCTGCACTGAGTAATGCCAATATGGGCAAATATTACCCACATCAACAAATACTAAAGTACTACTATTAGTTAACAAATTACATTTTAATGAAAAAATACTATGTTTTTTTACAATATTATTTTATGGTTTGAGATTCAATCCAAATGATATGCAAGGTTTAACAGTACTACAACTAATATCACTTCTTGCTTCAAGTTTGTGAATACAAAATATGAATAAAATTGAAAACAAGGTATGAATATAAAACAAAGTATGAATAAAATTTACCTTACTGACTTTAGAAGAGGTCAACAATGAGTTGATTTAAATTCAAGAGAACTCTTATGAAAAAATAAGTCTTATCTCAGATTGTTTATTGTAATGGTAACAAGGAATGCCAAGAGTGGGCAAAATCTGCCACTAGAGAAAAATTAACTAGTCCATGATTTAATTAATTCCAAATCAAACATTCAGGAATGTAACTGAAATGGTACTTCACTCTGTTACTAACAAAAAGCACCAAAAATGTAAAAGAATTATTTGTTTTATATACAGAAGTAAAAATTCTTTTAAAAAATTATATTGTTGAACAAAAATTGCCTGATTTTGGTACTACTAGCGTTAAATCTCAGATGCACATGGGCATATCATGAATATATCTCAGGTGTGTGTTTCCAAGCTACTTTCAAAATAGCCACTGAATTCACTGTGTTCTTTGTTAATGATGGTTATCAAAGGAAATCTAAATGTCAGAATTAAAATTTCATTGAAAGCTCAGAAATATTGTGAGATATGAAATATTTGCTGCAAAGCAATTTATGCAGCATAAGAAAATGTTAATATACATTTTGGACAATAACTTGTGCCCGGAAATTGATACAGTAAAACTCATTCAAGGCGGAAATCTGTTTATAATATGAAAATATGCACTTTACAAACATAAACTGAGATTCTAGCAAATGCAAATTCTACAGTAGTAAGTACTTTGTAATTATTATTATTATTATTATTATTATTATTATTATTATTATTATTATTATTATTATTATTATTCAGACACACAGTACACTTCAATTGTTACATATCATTTTGGGATGTATTGTTTATTCATTAGAAAGAAAATTCATGACGATATATTGAAAATCTTTACAATGTTACGGTTTCAGCCGGGAAGCGGACCTTGTACGAAAGTTTGCTGGTTTAGTTCTCGTAAGAGACGTGCTACTATCGCGCTATATCCAGACGGAGTATTCCGAGCTCCATTGTGATGTGAATAGACGCAAGTGACATATTTTGGTGCAACGATGACGGTGACAGAAAACCCCGCAGAACTGCGACGAGCAAATTGTAATTCAAATTTCGATAGCAAAAAAATGTTAATTTCAGTGAAATTCGCTGGGAATTTGCTAAGCAGTAGTGGCCCCTCGTGCCCTCGACATTGGTGGTTTGCAAAAGTAATTACAATGAGATAGCCTCGACTTGGACATCGCAAATAAAACCCACTGCCTTAGGGCTGTTACTCCCGACGGTTTTATTGGCGAAGACGTCGGCATATCTCACAACTTACTGTTATTTTGTTAATCACCAAAATTGAGGTCACGAGCCCTCACTGGAAGCAGATAATGTTCTTCCAGAGTTTGTGAAATCTCGAATAATGTCTCGAAATGTTTCATGTGTACATGCGTGTGATTGTATTTAAAGGACGTCCAAATCTGTGCATGGTGGGACTGGTGCGGAATGGAATCGCTTGGCCGCCACATGGTACAACGTGGGTGTTTTTGAATTGATGTAAAGGCACTGATGAAGGTAAGAAAAGTTGCGTTATTCTCTTGGCTTATCCTATCATGTATTTGGGTAGACAGTATAATAAGAAAAGCTGTTCTTTTCCATAGAATTATCAGATATTTTTGAACGACCAAACATGATTTTCCTTAAAAATTGCTTTATTCGAGTCTTGACCCTTCAAGCTATCCCTTTTTTACCACAACGATTTGAGACACACGTCGGAGAACCAACACGGGGCGTCGGAAGATCGGAGACCAAAGTATTCTGGCATAAATGCGGTGGAAGTTACACGTTGCATAGATTGAAGGTTGTTTCACGTTGGTCGCGGAGGCCGAACGCTGAACCTTGGACATGTGTATGGAAGCCTCATCTGGACAACTAATTCCTATTCGTAAAAGTATTAGCTCGTCGCGTAAAATGACTCGGTAGAATTTGTTTAGTAGACGCTATTCGATTTCTCAGTGTAGTGAATGGGTTCCTCAGCGTGCGTTATGATAACGGAAATACCCCCTTCTTTTTATAGCCCATTAATGTGTTGCGAAATAGTTCCAAATAACTTTCTATTTCGTAAGATATCGTTTATTTATTTAGACATATATCTTCCAGTGCTTTGTCTACAGGCTGCTAGGAGAGGAGATCAGGACTAATTGGCACCAGCTGATAGTTTTTAAATTTTTTGCGCAATTCCATTTTAGTTTGGCTAAGTTCGAGTTTAGCAATGTAAACTATATTTATTAGGATACCCTATGATATTTTTGTTCACTTGAAGCAGAAAATTTGAAATACAAAATTGAAGGCATCAGTATTGCAGAATGTGAAATTAATGTCTTTTAGTAGAGAGGGTTTGAACGAAGATAATAGATTCCTTTTTTTGTATTCCTTACTTATAAAGAATAAACTGAACACATCTTGTTAATTTGGCAAAACAGAATGTAACATGAACGGGTTTGGACCTGTTTGGTCTCAGACACGTTTAGGGGGGATCTCTGAACACTACTAAACGTATGCCATTTTTAAGTGGCCACAATTTGAACAAAATTCAGGCTATGGACATTTTTTTTAATGGAAAAAATTAAGAATTGGCAATGTCTAGGCAAGGGGAATGCTAATTGCTCATTGTCTTTTAACACCTTGCCCTTTAACACCTTGTACGTTAGGTGTACTTAAATATTTAGGAAAAAAACGTTTTCTATGGAGATGGTTGTCAGACAGACGATGAGGCTGGTTCATACTGTGCCAACTAATCCCATTGAAAAGTTACAAACAGTCTCACACGGAATTATTGTTAAAGATGGTCGTTGGGTGACAAAGGAACTCGAAGCTAAGAAAATTAACGCGTAAACCAAGAGATTGGTTGAAGGTTTCGACTAGAGAGAGAGAGAAGCAAAAACTTTCCTTACCTTGTAATACCAAAAGACATTCAATTGTCTAAGAAAAATACTCTCCAAACTCTGGAACAGATTTTAGATCATGGCTCCACCATCGAAGCGTTGATCATTCTGAAACTTCTGTGGTAGGTTCGTTAAGTCGTGAAGGACGCGTGACAGAAAGCGGGGGCATATGGAGTGTACGTGGTCAATGTAGGAACCAGAGTGCCAGTGCCTTGGGCTAACCAGACCCGATCTCCCGTTCCATTTGAATTGATACTGTATTTACGGTTATCGTTAACTAATTCATCGGACATTGTTAGTCACCTATTAAACTCAACATTAGATACTTTCACAACAAGAGGTTTTTGGACAATTATAGGCTACACACTCAATATAGAAATGACCATACTTGTGAAGGAGTTTAAATATTGAAATAGTTGACGGTTTCCAAATGTTTCTGGTGTTCTTAAAGTTGTCAAACTTACAATAAGTTACAACAAATTATTAAAATTAGGGGTATATTATATTTTCCAAATAAAAGATGTTACATATGACAGTGCTTGGTTCTTGTGATTTACTGTGTGACATAGTTACTGATCTCTAGGAACCAGAAACTTTTTATGTTGCCATCTGCATCCTCTAACAGAGTTTTCACTTATTCAGATAGGTGAACAATTATGTGCAATAATAAATTATTACATTGAAATTCGGTATGAAAATGATTATTAATGTATTGACACTAAATAAACTGAGCCGTATGACTCATCCATTGCGACAAATCATCTACCAGTGAATGTGTTTGCATACTTTGGCATGACAGTCACACGGTTCCAAACATTGCATAGAGAGAAATATTGGGTCATGGTAAGCAAAATGTATATCTGCGTCGTATGAACCCTCAGTATCATATATATTTTGATCCAAGTTGTAAGAAGTTTCAGATAACGTATCTGATTCTTCAGTGTGTTCCATTTGATTTGCTGTATATCTGCCCACAGAGACGTTCTGGGGTGCAGATCTAGGCCGAGGCCTAGTTGTACTTCTGTAATCGTATACTTCTATGTTTCCCGTATTTCGTGTATCATTTATGTGCGGACAGTTCTCTCTTCGTATTAATGAACCACTTCCCATACGAGTATTTGGTGTGTTTAACTTCTCATTTCGATTTGGAGTATTATGACTTTTGCTTAATATGTTACGCATTGGTTTATATCTTGAACGTTGAATTTTAGATTGAGGATTTGAGAACTTCGAATTTGGTAATTTTAAGGCCGGTGGATCAACCTTAGTTTTATTAGCAGAGTGATTGTGACAGAAATGTTCATTTTCTTTATAATAATGACTAGTATTCGGCGCGACATGGTACGCATCAGAGCCATCCGGTCTTCGTGGCAGTGCCACATCATGAGATGAAGAGAAACCGTGAATGTGACACGATGCTTGGACGCTGCCAGTAGATTGATGCCTTTCGTCGCTGACGTCACTTTTAGGGAGAGGGCTACTGCTCGGTCGGTCCTCGAAGCAGGAGGAATTTATACTGCTGTCACTCGCTTCGGGTG